CACCGAGTGCACTATCTTAGTTTTTCGGAAAGTCGGATCAACCAACTGGCGTGTCGAATGCGTTTCACAGCCCGGCCAACCCAAAACAATTCACCAAACCAAATAACAACCTAGTTTCGTGTGGTGTGCTCGTAATTTTGGCGGACAAAAACCATTCGGAGAATCGCATTCGAGTTTGTGGCTTCCGATAAAATATTCAGTGTCTTCTGAAATTTTAACTCAATTCACCGTTTGCTTTCTGTAATTATTTGCCGTAAATTAGATATTGTGCATTGTAACGAAGCGAAAGAGAGTATCTAGACAAGGATTTACCACCAAGTGATTTTAATTTTCACTCGAGTTTGCAATCGGTGTGCATGTGTGTGTGTGTGTGAGTTTGTTTGTCCTGCCGACAAAAACCAAACTCCCAAAGATAGACAAAACGAACTAAAAGCAATTAATGCAATTTCATTTTGGCACCAAACTTTATGTGTGAAACTGGATGCCGGCAAGGAATGGCAGCCCCTCGTAAGTTTCGAGTAGGTTTTCGTTCATCGGTCTTTAAAAGCACAGGAAGAAAAAAGTTCAATCAAACGATTTTGCAATGAGATTTAAATTATTACAGGGAAATTTACAGCGTTTTCTATTTATTTACGGTAAATTCAGCTCATTTTGCTGTGTTTACAAATCATCACGTGAGATAGCAAAACACTGGCCATTCAATGGATGGAAAACAATTTACCGCATTCATCGGAAGTAAAAAGTGATGGCGATAAATCTTTGGAAATTGCTTTTACATCGCACACAAATAGTTGTTTTAAATGTTGCACCCACAACGACGTGAGAAAACTGCATTCCACTTTATTAAATGGAGTAAAATAAATGGACGATTGGTTGCAAGACACAATTCACTGACTTTCATTTGAGCAACAAAAAAATGTACGGAGAAATTTTCGAGAAAGTTGTCGTCGATGTTTGTTTTTTTCTTCGTTTGGGGACTGCAATTCGACTGTAAGATAAGCGATTTGGGATCAAATAAATTTGGTGATACGATGTTCGTCGTCGTCTTCGTCGAAAAGTAGTTTGTAATCAAAGAATTTCGAAGAAAATCTATTGCTTCCGCCTGAATGAGCCTATATTATTGGAGTTTTTGGTTGAGAAATTATATAGGAAATTGGCTTTAAGCGGAATAGAATGGGTGTACACCGTACACATACCAAAACATACCAAATCCAGTTGAATTAACGAACAAGGTGCGGCCAAATCGTTTTTTTTTCTATGCCAGAAGTTTTGCAAAGGTTTGTGGCTCTTGGAAGGAAGAAACCATAAAAGGCTATCGCATTTGTGATAACATAAAATTGGTGTCTGTTTGTGTCGGTTCGGGGCACATCTCAAGTGAGCATTGGAATTGGTTTTTTTTCTGCATCGAAGCAAACCACTACATCTACATAATGGAACCAATATTTTGGAATTGGATATGCTAAATTTCAAGAATTCGAATCCGTTTTCATTTTGGCTTGAAACTCAATGGGTTTTCGTAATCAAGCACAAACACACATGCCAGATCAATGCCTTGAATTATGTGCCGAGCGAAAATAAAAACTTTTTCAAGAAATTGAATATCTCACAAGCATTTTCGCTTACATTTTGAATATTCACTTTTATGATTGTTATGGCTGGGTTAAGTGCCATTAAATCAAATTCTTGAGCACAGTGTCAAACTAGATTAAAAGTTTCGTTTTCATAAATACTATAATTTGATAGCAGAGTACTTCATGCTGTTCGCATTTTATATGATAATAAACATGTTCACTTATCCACCCTGAGTGGAATCCACAGATGCTATATTCGGTGATTATTGCGTGCGTTTGTGAGAATGTGTCGTATGCACTCACACCAAAGTTAAGCACCTCAAGCATTTGCATCTAACTCACACAGTCAATATGGTCTGGTTTCAAAAGTTCATTCCGTTTCGTCTGCAATTGTTGGAAAAAGCAACGAAATCAAAGTTTTCCGTCATTTTTATCCACGGATTAAATGCGACACATAGTTCCTTGAACCGTTTACAATGCCTTCGCTCTTGCAAACAAAATTAAAGTCTATTGTTCATCGCAGTGCCAACCAAAATATTCAATCGAACGCGACACAATTTCAACGCAAGATCACCGTGTTCGCTTTTACATACTGACAACAACGGCGTGGCAACAAAACTATTTAAGTGTCATAAGAGAAGTCACAGAAGGAAACAATTGCATTCAATTCTTATTTCAGTTGCATACTTTGCATGCAGTTTGTTCCATTCCGCGGTACAACTTAAAAGTTTAATCATGAAAAGCAGTCAATTCGTATGGGAATATGCACACTTTGCCGCTTTTACTCTCTCTCTATATCCTACTACCTGCTCAACTTTTTCCCATTCAATGGCACAAAACTATTCCGATTACAGAGCACTTTCTCCCCTCCCTCTATCTCTCTCTCCCGCTGGGTGTCTCTTGTTCTCGTTTACGGCACCTTAATTTTTAATGCAGCTTGTAATCGTATGACTTTCAGCAGTCGTCTATTGAATTTTCTTTAAATCGAACAATGACTTTGAATGAGAAAGTCGGAACTTGGCGGTAACGGATGTTCATCGACTTAGCAACTGCCGCGCCCGCGATATAGAGAGAAAGAGAAAAGTGTCTACCGGTACGATATTCGACTTTTATTCGATCGTAAAATCGACTAATCAGACGTGTTTTTTTTGTCTCCTTGTGAAAAACGTGTGAATAATAACATAAATGGCATCGTAAATTTTCGATTCCATTGGATTTGTGCCAACAGTCTCATAAAATGCATCCAAAGTGTTAAATGATTCGCACGCTTTTTTTTTCCTTTCGCCTCTTTTGTCATAAAACTTTAACACCGTCGATAATTGCGAATTCGCTGATGTTTAAATTATTTTCTGGAAAGTGAGAAAAAAAACACCCGAGGAAGCGCAAATGTTTTAATCGTTAGCAAATTTGTCGGATCGTAAACGTGAGGGAAAAACCTGCGTTTTTTTGGCTTCGAAAGTAAACTTTTAATCACACAACGGATTTCTTGCAATCAAACCAAACATCGATGGAATCTCTGATAAATTTGCAGAAAAGAGTGTGAAAAACCCGAGAAAATTTTAATTAATTTTACAATCGTCATTTATCATTTTTTGTGCATCCGCTCGCACAGCAACTAAAACAAAACACAACAACTCCTCTGTTATTTATTGTGGCGCACCACTCGCACCAATTCACACACACACAAAAAAGAGCGAAAATTAACGAGATAAAGTTAAACAAAAACTTACCTGAAGAGTGAATGAACGAATGAGATTGTAAGAACAATTCGAATGATGCCAACATTTTCGACGATTTCTTCAAGCATTTCGCACATGAAGAAACGAGATGAAAACATTTGCTGGTTTTGCTGCAAGCAAACCGTGATTCGCTGCGTGCCATCAACGGTGCAAAACAGCAGGATACAACGCAATACAACCGTCACCGCAAGCCGGAAACTCATCGAGCTACCTTCGTTGTTTTTGTTTTATTTTCGTTGTTGTTGTTGCAAAAAATGAGTTGTCGTGGTGTTGATATTCAAACTTGTTGGCCGACGATCCAATTACAATCCGATTTCAAATTCATTTGCCGTTATTCGTTCGCCGCGATTCTCCTGTTCCAATGATTTCAATCATTGTTGGCTTGTGCCAAAAAGTAAATAATTAATGTGAAAGGATGTATCTCGCGTGTTGTGTCGAGGTACACAGAGAAAAAAAGCGAAAGGCGGTTTGTTGTTTGTTTTGACAGAAAGAACGAGAAAATTCAGTAACAGCCAAAGCGTTGACAAGTTTTAAGTTCGTGGCCGTGTATTTTCATTTCTAACATCGAAAAACTAACAACGCTGCGAATGAAAAAGCAAACCATGACAAAGTTTTGGGAAAAGCGCAATTCGGAAGCCAAATACCATGCATTCCGTTCATGTTTGAACATTTCGTGCATCAAACTCCATTGCAAATAAGCTAACCGGTGCGGTCGACGAATTGTGCTGGTGAAATTCGCCGGCAATTTCGGTCTCGCTTTTCGCTGTGTTCTTTGCGACAAACGTGACATGCTGTGTCGTATTACTCGTTAAGTCGAAAAGTTTCACTTCATTTATTTGTCTGTATATGTAGTTTTCGTTCGTGAACAAGTAGTAAATATTTTATGAAACTTCTTGCATCATTATATTATTCAGTGTTGGCTGCAACAAAAGATAATTTCATCAAGACACAACATGCACAAACCATTTTCATGATGGTGATTTGTGTTGCAATTTTTTTTTCTTCTTCTTGTTCAATGGATGTACATGAATAATAATGCTTGTCATGTTTACATTTTCGGTAATGTAATTTACACCCGTTTTGGGGACTATTTTTGAATGACAACTCAAAGCCTTTACTTACCTCAACAAGACAAGACAAAAAATGTTACGTCATGCGAAAGATAAAAACAATTGCGCGTCATCGGATATAAATAAACCATTCAATTAGACGATGCATCAAATTGCTCTCGAACCAATTTACGTGCTGGGTAAACGTTGTCACGTAAAATAGACATTTCCGATGAGTACCGAATGAAAACAAAACGAGACAAAGCGGGTTTGATCCATTCATCAAAACATTCCCAGAGCAAGTTGTTATATCAAACACGAGCTCTTTTTTTGAATGAAAATCTAAATAAAGTGCGTCTTTGTAATGCGACGGATGCACTGTTGCGAAGGCAGAGCTCTGTACTTCCACGAAGGCGAATCATCGCACCAAAGTCACAGCACGGATCATTTGCAAATGGGTTGCTATATCGAATGGCACCGAAAAGGTTCAATGGATTATGTGACACATGGACAAATCGAGAAAATTGACGGTGCTTTGACTTTGACATCGTCTGATGATTATACCGATGGGAATCACCAATCGCAGAAAGGTTTTTATCGACAAAACAACGGGAAAGAGAAAACGACCAAACCCAAAAAAAAAAATTGTACAAGTTTATCTTTATTTGTGTTATGGATCGCAATGCGATTTCTAACATGCTAAGTTGTAGATTCTAAATGAAATTCACATGATTTATGCTAGCTTGCTTCGGTTTTTTATGCCGAGAAAGAAGAAAAAATATCGCTGTACACTGCTTCATGATGAACCAATTTTCGATCGCTTGTAGTTGAATACAATTTTCATCAAAATGAATAGCCAATTAAATTCTGTTTTTTGTTTCTGTTTCTTTTGGATTTTGTGCCGTAAATGCTCCAGTTACTTTTTCTTAAACTTCTTACGTTCTAAGCAATGTTTAAGTTTAAAATCTCATTGAATGAAATACTTCGTGGGTGTAGATGGATGAATGGGAATTTTGAACTATTATTCTTCGATGATATTGTCAATCACTGAAAATACATATGCCAAACAACCAAAACGAATCAATGACCCATGCGTTAGTACGGCTGAACCTTCCCAGCCTTGTTCCAATTGCGGATACGATTTGCACTTGCAGTTCGGTAGTTCGGGTGCTGACATTCTGGTGGGAAAGAGAGAGAGAGAGAGACCACATATTGAAACGGTGAATTAATTGGTAAAACTTAAAGATTTAGATGGAAACAATTCGTTTGTTTTCATTGATTTAAAAGTTTTCTTTAGATAAATTACCGAGCATTTTTACTGAGTCCGTATTCAATTCGATTGACACCACGCTTTTTGTCAATGATATCGCGGACATTCTTGTAGAAACCATTGACGTCGTGCAATCGATTCTCATTGACCTCTTGATATTCCGTAAAATCCAACGAATAAATTTGACCGTTCACTTCCGTTCCATGCTCCGAGTAATTCAATAGCTCGTACACTTTTGTCACCTTTTTTGGAAAAATAGGAAAAAGAGGTAAAAATGTATTTTTCATAAGTATACACAAATGTCAAAAATCTGACTGCTTTTCTTACCTCATCATAGAAAATGGTGGCATGATGTGCCGATAAGCGAGCACATTTACGAACGTTCTTCATTTGTAGATCACAACCCGGTCCGGAGCCAATCACCAGACTCCTATAGCGCATGAATATATTGTCGTCAATGCTTGAGTTTGTGTACCACTGTTTGCCGGCTAAAATATCGCCGACGGGTGTTAAAACTGCTCGAGCCCTAACTTTTGATTCTTGCAACGGTTTTTCCAAGCGTTTTGCAATGGCCAGTGCACGTTCTTTGTCGTCCACAATGTTTTCCAAACCGTTTGCATAGCAATAGGTTTCTGTATTCAATTGTGGCAACGGTGGAACCGGATGACCGACACCGGCATACGCCGGATCATTATTATCGCCATCGTTGGATGTGGCGTTGCTCCCAAATTGTTTGGCAATTTTGGCGATATCATCTTTCGATAGCAATTGACTAGGAAGCGTAATTTTGACGGGCTTCGCTTTGAGCGCATCCTTAATCGCTTTGTTGGCATTTTCATTCTGATACTTTGCAACCATTTCCGGGCTATCTTTGAGTATTTGTTGTAATTGAGCAAGAGCTAATCGCTTGATGACATCAACATCAAGCCTATCCAATTGATCATCGATTGTGTCTGGTGCCAGTGCACCATTTGTACCGTTCACAAGTTTCGATTTGAATACCTCTTCCGATAATTCCAACAAATCGTCACACTCAGCAGCAAAACATTTGATACTTGTATTTCGTTTACGCTTCCGAATCGATTTCAATTTGTTTGCATCGGTCGCACTTGAGTCTTGCAATTGATTGGAATTATCTGTTTCGGTTGGATCTTCTTTCACACCATTTTCAGCGATTGCTTCGCAATGCTGCACCAAAATGGGTTTATTTTCGATTTTTTCAATAATTTTCTCATCAATATTCAACGGAATTGTATCAACAATATTTTCAATCACTTCAACTTCCGTCATTTCCTTGGTTTCAATCAATCCATTCGCCGCAACCACATCATCATCATCAGTTTCTGTTTTCAAATCGTCGGGTTTGTCCACCTCTTCGTGGAATTGCCGAACGATTTCATTGGCTTTTTGAAGCTCTTGCAGATCTTTGTCAACTTCATCATACACATTTTGAGTATTTACAACCGATGGAAGACCATGCTCACGATAAACACGTTCGCATCGCAATACATCACGTAATGAGGGAAGCAGCGGTGGTGGATTTTTGTAATGGAATTCAACCATTGGTGGTATTTCGGCACAGTGTCGCAACTTAGGCTTCACCTTAAAACGAAACGGTGGATTTTTGCGATGGATGCGACGCAAAAAATCCGATTTCACCGTTTCATGATCGACGCATGTATTAAACTGATTCCACAGTTTAACTCGTTCCGTTGCCGATATGGATGTTACTAATTTCCAATCCTGAATTATTCGGTGAAAAATAATTGGATTAATAATTCTGGGAAATCCGTTGATTTTAGACCAAAAAAAAATACTCACAACAAATTGCTCCGGATGATTCGGACACATCCATAGTGTTGTTGGCAATGCGGTCAACGGCGGATCCAAGCAATCCTATTTAAAACACACAACGAACGTATTTAAAGCATGTTCGCACTTTGACAGTGACAGTTAAAAGTGTGAAGTGTATTTGTTGTATTTACCTGATGAAAGAACAGTGGACAGTAGTCGCACGATATTAACGGTGCTTTTTTGCACGACTTGCGACAGTAGAAACACGTTGCCGCTGGCAACGGTACCAATCCCTGTGCATCTAACTCATGCCGAACACGATTTTGTCCATTGCGATTGTTATTTTTCTTGCTTTTACTCGTTTCATTTGACACTGCGAACATTTTTTTTTATTGAAGAAATTAATTTTAATCATACATTTAAAATATTTCCGTTTATTTAAACCGTTCAAAATGTCAAATGGGACATTTTTAATCGAATTAAAAAAAAACTCTGAGATCAACACTTGCAATTTACCTTTTTCATCGCCGGGAAATTGTGGAAAAATTGCCATTTCACGTGGCAATTCAAATTGACGTGGATTCAAAATGGTTGCAGCTCGAATGAGCTCATCCAACGGTGTTTTTAAATCGATGGCTACTTCTTCAACTGCGTCACCATTTTGTACCGTTTCCTCTTCACTATTACTGTCGATATCCATTTTATCGCTATCGTTATCAATTTCAATCAATTCTACGTTCGCTATATTTTCTACTTGAGACTCTTGTTTCTGTTCCGTATCATCGGTGTTTGGTGTTTCGGGCGAATTTTCATTAATAACAACGACAACTCTTGAATGTTCATCCGTTTCATCCGAAGGTTTATTTAATTCTGTCACCACCACCATCTCCGTTGATTGTGCATTCGTTTCACATTGTACCACTTCATCGTGTGGTTTGTGTTCATCGTCGTCGTTGTTTTTGTCATCGACATTTGTTGTTGTTGTTGTTGTAGTTTCAATGCTGTCAATGGCATCGGCACCGTTACTATACTGCTCACTATTGCTGCGTGATATTTTCAATTTGATATCCCGATCACTGCTTAAGCTATTCTCACTGCTCGACGATACACGTGACAGACTACGTTTTTGATTCAGTCGCACTTTGGCTGCATTAATAACGCCATCGCTCGTAATCGGTGTGGATGGTCTAGAATCTTTGAATTTTTGCAATTCGTGCTGTGTTAAGTCGTCATCATTTGAAATCATTTTGGTTGCATTGGATGTTCGTTGCTTTTGTAGCATTTGGCACATATGACAAAGCCATAAACCCGACGGTATATCTTCTTCTGATAATGGTGGATCACTAGAATTATACACAAAGTCTATGTGAAAAAATCTGCTTTAAATTTGGAGTTTTCAAAGCCAGAAACTTACTGGCAACCCAGATGAAAACTAGCTGGACATCGATCGCAACAAATGAGGTCTCCTCCTTCACGGCATGCATCACAGCAGTCACGATTGTGTCCACGGCCCGGACGACGATAATATGGATGCTGTGGTTTTTTGTTTGCTTGACGAGACGCTTCACGACTGTCCGGCGGCCGAATTAAAGCCTGTATCAGCTAAAAATAAATACAAATCGAACACAATTTCATTAATACACACGAACAAAGAGAACTGATTAAATCCATTTCGACAAATCCTTTATTACTCACTGGCATCAAACCACCCGATGTGCAAAAATCATAGTCATTTTTCGACATTATTTTCCTCTATTTGATCGGCATATACGGGCGAACTCAAGCGAACACGGAATTCAGTGCGATAAATGCAAATTAAATGCTTCGAACTAAAAAAAACGCGAAACCAAATAATTAAAACCGAGCTTCCAAAAAAAGAAAAGAGAAGTCAAACACAAAAACCTTTTAGCTCTGTACCTCGGATGTGTGTTTTATACAGTGTATAGTACAATACAGAGAGTGTGTTTGAAAGATGGAACAAAAATTCAAATTTGACAAGTAAAGTCAAAAGCATCTAGACTTCAGTACAAGCTACGTATTGGTGGTGCTGCTATACAGTTATCCATGCAAGAAGAGTACCGACCGTTGACAGCTACTGTCAAAGCGACAAGCCAATTCAAAGCGCGCGTTATTTCTGTCACAACAGCGGCTTTTTCAATTTTTGACACGGGCAAAACATTGGATTTTCATAGGAAATTGACTAAATGAATCGACCGCTCATCATCTTAATGGGAAATTCACTCTATTCTCATTATTTCATTAAATTTGTTTTTTCTCAGGGAGTTAAAAACTAAACGAACAATAAACAAATGAATTTCAGTTGAAAAAAAACCAATGTCCCTATCGAGGGCCTGAATTGTATCCAGCAAAATGCGTATACACTCAGACATTCAAAGAATTTACTTAAATCGAATTCAAATTTGAAATAGAAAAATTGTGATTTTTCTCGAATCGATTTCCTATCTTCTTTTTAAAGAAAAATATTAATCGAATGATGGACCAACATCGACTCATTTCATTCGTTCACCGCAAACTGACATTTCGATTGACGTTAAACAGTCCAGCGGTACATTCGACAATAAGTGTCAAAATGGCACAGCGTTTGCTTGTCTGGCCGTCGTTTAGCAGGGAGAAAAAGATCGTAGTAGAGCATGTGCGATGCGTTGCGAGTGGAGATTATTCACAAGGCATTCGAAACGCATATGTGAATGATTATTGGTTTGTTCGATTGCTTTGGTTTGTATGAAAAATTTTGCCGTGTCAGTCGTGTGCCGTTCTCTGCGTCAAAATGTCTTCCCGTCAATCGTTGCTCTCGTAGTCGTAAATACATATTGTGTGTGTGATAGAGATGTTGTTTCGCCTATGTGTACCCTTTTGAACGAATGTAATTGCTAAATAATTATTTCGTGTGTACAACATTTTCGACATCTTTTCGGTGGTCGTTTTAATTTAAAGTAAAAAAACTAAAAAAAAAAATGATTCACATCATCATCATCAGCTGTACATACGGGAATATTTGATTAAAAACTCTTGTGTTTGCGTTTTTCATCGACAACGAATCGCAAAGACTGTGTGTGAGGTGACTTTAACAAATCGCAAGGAAATGATGATTAATAAAAGGCTGAGAGGTCAAACAAAATTATCGAAAAAAATGAAAATAAACCGATAATAACGAGGTTCTAACGAAAAACAAAATTGGTTTGTTCAATGACTTCAGCCCATATACGGTTAGGGAAAAGTTCGAGTCTTGTGTATAGAGTAGCAGCGGCAGCAGCAGCAGCAAGAAGAAAAAAAAACCAAAGGCACTAAGACAACCGAAAAAACATTTAATATCGACGATAAATACATGTAATTTAGTCATTCGGTTTAAATTGTATCGAACAACGGCAATTTGTGTATACGTTTCAGTGGTGCGACCAATGCCAATAACAATCAGTGGAATCGTGAGCGCACAAAAATACGAACAATCGCGAATCCACACATTCAGCAATTTGACTGAAGCGAAACAGTAGCGAAGACATTTCGCTAAATTTATCGAAACGAAGAAAAAAAACACACAAATTCAAGTGCACTGAGTGTATCGTGCGGGCAAAGTGTCATCAAAAATAAAAAGCGGCACTTTTGGAGGGACTCAGCCCGATTCCGTTCATATGTGCGATAGAAATTAAGAGAAAATTACAACAAAACCAAACATTTAAAACAAAAGTATCGACACATAAAAAAATGGCAGGTGCTTATGATCATTTGTTTAAGCTCCTCATAATTGGAGACAGCGGTGAGTGGGCGAGGCGGTTTGCCTGATGATGTTTTTTTTTTTGTTCATTTCATTTTTCCTGTTTTTGTGTTATCTCGCATTCGGTACTTTCCTCTTTTGCGACCGCATCACAGTTATTAGCCTTCATTCATGTTTGTTTGACGGTTTTGCAACCGAATCCAAAAGAACACCGGATGATGTTTTCCGTCATTCTCCGTAAATATTGATTCAAAATTAATATCATTTCAAGTTTAAAATACGGAATTTTTTTGTACTTTCATGTGTTGTTTATTCATCCCATCCGAAAAATGATATTTTTTTTGTTCCTATTGTGTTTGTGTGTGTGCTCAAAGTTAAAACCTTAAAATATTTGCTCTATTAATTACCCGCACTCTCGAACCCGACGACCATTGTCGTTGTCGTCATCATCATAAAAATTCATTTTGTTTTCGCTCTCATTTGGTCGACAAGCGGCTCGGTGCTCATGTTTTATGTTATGTTGTTTCAATGAATTGAACAGACAAAATGATCTAGCAATTACAATCTGTATCGTTTACATTCACCAAATTTTACACATTTGTTCACTCACAAACATACAACTATACAAACATTCCACTCTATTGACTCGTGTTATTCGTTTCACTTTAGTTTTTTTTTTCGGCTGAGACATTGAACAAATACATCGATAAAATGTATGGAAGCATTGTGTTGTAATTTGCCCTTGATAAGCGCAACGAGAATTCATTGTTAAAGTTTTCCGTTTATTTAATCTCTATCCCTCTCCCTCTTTCTGTCTCTTTGTCTCTCTCTCTCAGTTTATCTATCTCTCTTCCTCTGTTCCGATTGTACGAGTAAAACGTATCTGAACCATGGACTCATATATGTACTAAAACAGTCACACAACCAAATCAATTTCCACTTCTCATATGGGAGCAAACGCGCGCGCGACCAAGTTCGCACACGGCCAATCACCAGCTCTTTTAATCACATGCAACCCAGAGACTATTATATAAAATGCACGAGTGATGATTCATAGCCTACGATACGAGCGTGTGTACGATGGATTTCTATGCAGCGATACCGAATCTTTTCGTCAAAATGATTGTATTTTGGTTTTCGCCCGAAAATCGATAAAAATCAAATTGATTACTATTAACTTGTATAAAATTCTTTGATTTTCTCCCTTGTTTTCCAAAACCCATGCAAACAAACGTTCATTTTTGACCAAATAACAGCGTTGATTTTTTCATTTCGATAAAAACGATCGTCTCGGCTTGAAATCTCATTCCATTCTCGGATTACCCATATTTCTTTCGTTGTTTTTACATAATAATGCAACCAAGTGTTGTTTTCATTTTCATTTCCATTCCGTTGGTGGGTGTTTTATTTTTGCAAAAAAAAAACCTAATCCAGTTACATTGAGCCTACTCCTCGCATACACTAGGTATTGATGATGCATCAATTAGGCGCGTTGATACTGAGCTGGGTTTCATTTGTTTGTTTGCTTTCGAACTGTGTGTGTGTGTTTTGAAGGATTTGAGAAATAGCAAATAGCAACCAGCAAACGATTTGTATCTGCAACGACAACAACAACGACGAAGACGACGACGACGACGACTACGAAGAATGAAGGAGAATGAGAACACGTAAATTGATATTATTATGGAATGCTGTGTGTTTGTTGCGATTGATGCGGCTGCTATGTGCTTCTCGTGTATTTTTCTCTCTCTTCAATCTTCTGTCATTAGATTGTTGGTGTGCAAAGGGTCAGAGCATCGGCCACCTTTTATTCACTTCGCATATAATATTCAAAGCATGAGCTAAATACACACTGTTTAACCATTTATTGTTGCTATTACGACTCACTTTTCTTCTTGCCGTCGTCGTCGTCGTTCTTCTTTCGACTGATTCGCCGTCGAGTTTCATTGTTCATGCGTTGCACTGTGTGTTCTTTTTGACACCACGTGGTAATTGATATTGTTTTCGCCTTTAGATTCTTTTTTATTGGCTTAATTTGAATCAAAGTAGCGATTTATATCAGCACATTTCGTTTCACTTCGATGCGTCTTTTCGTTGTTCAGATTTCTCGGTAATTTTGGGTTTTCTGTTCAAAACATTCACTTCGAGCGCAAATGAAATTCAAATGGGCTATAAAACTGTAGCAAAACATCTATTCTTTGCATTTGTATAGACCGTAATTTATGCACCGAGAGAAATATCGAAAAAAATCTGGCTCGTAGCTATAAAAATGTATGCTCGAAATTTTTCGCTATGCCTTTTTCTGGGTACATAAACAGATGGCTACTATAAACACAATGATCCAAAAATAGCATTTAAAAATGGGAAATTTATTCATAGTATTCGGTCGGTCGAATCATAACATACATTCGATAGCACATCGTGCGTACGTTAGTACAATTGATGTAATTCATAAATGGTTAAAATAATAGCGTCGGAAATATTCTTGCAATGAGCAAGCATGCATCTCGTGTCGTGCCCTTATCAAAGCCGTAACGTCAAATCAAGAAAGGCCAGTAACACACACGCCATAGCCAAGTGATGCCATACGATGGAAATCAATTCAAACCTCACAAATTAATTCGGAATGTGTGTGTATGCTTTTTAGCTACTGCATAACAATTTTTAATTGGATTAAGCGTGTTGTCGTTGCATTACAAGCCATTTGTTTCGATTGTTTGTCTGCGTTGCCGGTTCAGACTGGTTCATAATATGATGTGTGTGTCTATGAAAGAAAACATACTGTATTTTCATGCATCATGGAAATCATTCTAAATTATGCTTTATTCCGGATATTAAACGAAAGCCAATGAGTGTGTGTTCACAACCAGAAGAAAGTACTTTAGTTCGACAAGAGGAAAGTCGTCGGAATGAAGACACATCACGTTTTCAATAAAAAAAATTGAGAATAATTATGCAATCATTTCTCATGCAATGATTTCATTCATTTCTTCTTTTTTTTAGGAGTCGGCAAATCATCGTTGCTGCTTCGCTTTGCGGACAACACATTCTCAAACAGTTACATAACGACAATAGGTGTTGATTTTAAAATACGAACTGTTGATATTGAAGGGAAACGTGTCAAACTGCAGATATGGTATGTTCTTAACAGGAAAAAAAATCCTCTAAAACCAATCTCTTCAAACCAGCTAATTTGTTCTGTTTTTCTTTTTCAATTCTCTTTCGTTTCGAAACAAAAGGGACACAGCGGGCCAGGAGCGGTTTAGAACAATAACTAGCACGTATGTATCATTCAAACCATTGTATTTTTTTTCTCGTATGAACGATTCTCGCACATGGCAATTATACAACTCTCTTTTTTTGTTGTTTCGTTTCCATCGAAATGTCGTTCCATTCTTTTCCCCTGTGACTAACGTAATTATTTTCATATTTTACAGGTACTACAGAGGCACGCACGGTGTCATTATAGTGTATGACGTCACAAACGGTGAATCATTTGCCAACGTGAAGCGCTGGCTTCAAGAAATCGAACATAACTGTGATGTCGTCAATAAAGTTTTAGGTAAATAGGCGAATGAGTGAAATTCCCAGAAAAAAAACGTAAAAAGAAGAGTCAGAAATTGAGATTGAAGAAACAGCTTAAGAAAGGATGATCTTATCGAAACTTTAGTTTGAAAGAAAAAAATATGAACATTGGAACATGTGTTCATGTTTGTTTTTATCAAGAAAAATGTTCTTATACTTGCCTTGCCGTACATGGCACCGGCTTGCACAGAATCCGCACATGACGTCAACAACTTTTTATCACCGAAAAATGAAACACTTTATTTATTGCTTCGCGAACGATCGCTTAGAAATGAGTCCGTTTTTTTTGCTCTCGTTCTCACCCTCTCTATCATCATCTCTATCTCTATTTCGTTGGAATTTTTCACAGCAAATAGAGATGAATTGCAAAAGTAGCGAAACGAAATTAATTCCGCAATGATCCGAGCATCGTAATGAAATACATCCGTTCCGCTGTTCTGGGCTGAATAACAAATTTCATATGATGCTCCTTTAGTATCAGCTATTAGATTCATAGACAGTATTAAATGTTCAGTGGCTTCGTTTATTAAATTACTCGCCATACCCATATGAAATGTGTGCAATGGATGCGTGTATTTATTAACAACAGTTCGATGCAATTCTGTTTTTTTTTCTTGTTTGTTGTTATATTTCGCCGTCAAAACACATCTAAATTGTGAAAAAAATCTATATGAAGTAATTGAAGCGTTTGTTTACGAAAGAAATGGAAATGATGACGATGAATATAAATAATCACAAAGAATGCATTAGATCATCTCTTTTTCACTTTCTCTATTAACTGCTGCGATCTCATTTTCAAATCAAATAAGCGATCAAATTAAATGGTCATTTTACACATAGATGTGGAACAATGCATAACAATCAAGTTTTTATTAACAAATGCACTCATTTCTCTCTCTTTTTTTTCGCTTCATTTCTGCAGTCGGTAATAAAAACGATGATCCAAACCAGAAAGTGGTCATCACTGAGGATGCGCAGCGCTTTGCAAAGCAAATGGACATTCAATTGTTCGAAACATCAGCCAAAGACAATATTAATGTAGAAGAAATGTTTCTTGCAATCACGAAAAAAGTCTTATACCATAAATTACAGACCGTTCAAAATAAGCAGGACAACGATGAACCAATTAAAGTAGGTATCAAAAAGGGATTTTACAAAAAGAAGAGCAAATGTTGCTAACCAACTTGTATACAGACATACAAAACAAATCTATCACTTTACGTACGCACTAAGAGAAACAAAATGATGAGCGAAGAAGAACATAAGCAGATGACTATCGCACAGCAGAGTTCCAGAACCGAATATCCATAATTTCCGTACAATAACAACAACAACAACAACAAGTGCAATAGCAGCAAAATGATAATAATGAATCAACAATGGACAACTCCTTTGGAACTAATAATCATTTTGTTCCGTCGAGATTGAACATATCGATGTTGTGTTTTCTTTGCAACGAATGAGATGATTCAATTCCGTTGCAAGATAACCAACGGCATCTACCTAATATGAACCGCTTCGAATAGTTTAAAAGCAGGAAAAAATAAGAAAATACAATAAAAATCTAAAATATTACTCAATTTTAGCCGAGTGAGTTGTGAGTTTTTGGAATGAATTTTTTTTTTTGATACGGCTGAAAAAGAAAGAATACAACAAAATTTAGAATATTTTTGGATAATGGATATTACCGCGTTTTTTGCTCGGATGGACGGCTAATATTTCGATGCCACACTTCAATTGATAGAAGAAAAAAAACCAAAAGAAAAGTACAAAGATGTGAATGCAATAAATGTGTCTAACTCCAATATGCGAAGCAAAGCCATCGAAATAACCTCCGATATTGCGACGAAGGTGTGTTTTTATCACCATCACCACCACCACCCAGTCAATTTATGTGTATAACCAATTCATTGTGGCTGCATTTATTCCTCTCATTTAGATGGAAAAAAGAAGAAATACCCTCATTCACACGAACACATTTCGTTTCGTATACTATTTACTAGTGCGCATAAAATAAATAATATCAATCGCTTTGTATTTTTGTAGAAATTACAAGAAGAAAAGAAGTTTTGTTCTTCTCAAAACAAGGAAAAACGAAAAATGTAAAATTAAAAGAAACGAATGCAAAGTGTGTGTGTTTTCGTTTTGAAATTCCCTAGTCGATATTCAAAGGGAAGAAAGAATTGGACAACACTCGCTATTAGCCATATTCGATACGTAATCCTGCACTGAACCCACTATTCAGTCTGCTATATAAATATCAGCTATTAAATTACAGGTCAAAATCATATTTATCAATTTTTTTTTGGAATTGAATCTGCTTTTGAATTTACACGAAGAAGAAGAAAAAAGAATGTTTGTCGATACTTCCAATTACAATTTACTCTTCCAAGTTAACCAATTATGATTTGTTCTTTTATGTTCACTCTTGCAATTTCGAACGAACAAATCACGAATTTCGAAATTAACAAATAAATTATTACATTTTGATTGCATATCATTTTGTTTACCCAACAACAAAAAAACGATGAATTATTTTATTTATTTCCATTCATTTGTGCATTTGTTGATATTTTTTTCTCTTCGGTTCTCATAAACTATATATATATAAAATTAACTACTCTATGACATTTACTCCAACTTATAATTTTAGAAATACTTTTTTTTTTTTAAATAGGAGTGTACAAACAACTGAAATATGCTATCATTTTATGTATGAAATTGTAAAATAAATGAATACGGTATAAAAGAAACAAGAATTGAATCAAAATAAATGGAAATCGATGAAAACTTTCAATAAAAAAAAATCATGTAGTTTTTCTTGTGGTTGAGGTGATCATCTTAGTCTTGGATCTACTGCAGAGAAACAGTCAAGGAACGGACTGCCATAGAATCCACTGGCACAGGTACAGAATGGCACATGGTATTTAGCCTTTGGAAATGGATCAAACAAATGAACATTGGGTTTGCTTTAATTATTTTGAATTGAATTAATCCAATCAAACGACATTCAACTTTTGAAAAGTTTTTTTTTAAGTCATTCGACTTTTGATTCCAAAAAATTCAAACCGAAAAAAATCCAAAACAACAGAAAACCGTGTAAATATCGAACCTTACAAACGGCATTCGCACCACATGGATTTTTCACACAGGCATTTTTGCACTTGTTAAACGAACAAAATTGATCCTGTTCACAGTCAGCATTATTAAAACAATTTTTATTCATTGCTTCCGAAACCAATAGCACACATCCAAATAAAATGAGTAAAACGATTTCTATTTGTTTGACCATTTTCCAAGCGATTCAAGCTCAACGGATGCTTGCCGATTTGTAACTAAATTACGGGTTCCGTACATATTTGTAAACAACCGTTTAGAAAACCTTCTATTTCTACTGAATTTTTCAACTGTTACGTTGCGATTATTTCCACTATTTTACTATAACGAGAATGTATGACCACAAATGCACAAATTGCGGTAATTTCACAAGCGTAAATCGAATTAAATAAGTGAGATTGCGTGCAAAATATGACTCAAGAACAATTGCGGTCGATGCGCAGTTAGCATGCTTGACTTCCGACAACCCATATCGAATTTTGTTTTCTCTACAAAGCGAGACAAAAAGGGCATAAGTCGCGAGAAAAAATGACTCTTTTCTTCATATCAGAGTGAAAATGTTCACAGATCACATTTCCGGCGTTTGCATAAAGAAAACCCATTGAAATTTCAAGGCAATGCAAAACTCATTAAATGTTAATAGAAAAGCATTTCATTAAATGCTGATTGAATAACTTACGAATTTATAGGGTCAGTAAAATGCACTTGTTTATTATTTGTTGTTGTTGTTGTTGTTTTTTATTCTTTATACAAAGCCTATACAAAAAATCTGAGTTCTTTTAAACTTAATTATTCATACCGAGATCGGTATCATGGCAAATTGGTAAAAAAATGAACAAACGAAACAATCAGAGAAGAAAAGGTATATTAATACACTACTAGAAATCAATTAATACAAAAAAAATAGAAGATGAGCGGCTCATTACAATCATTGTAAACAGTTTGTGTGTTTTGCATTCTATATCGCGTTTTTCTTTGTTTCTTCGTGTTTGTTACTATTATTTATTTTTCGACGACTTTGAACACATAGAGAGAGCGAGAGACGATTTATTATTAAGTGAATTGAAGTTTTTTTTCCGTTTTTTGTCCAAAGGTGTAATAGAAAGTAAGTTTCGTTCAGTGTGATGGTAAGTCTATCTAATTTTCTGGAGATGGATTTTCGGTTGAATCTGAAAGATCAACTTCTCTCTTGTAGTATCTGGCTACTGGATAGCTACGCGATTGACGACATGATACCAAAGCATCGCCGCTTGTTCCTTGTGGACATTTGCAAACAGCTAAGTGGCGTTTAGCTTCGCAAATGGCATTGCTACCGCATTGACCAATGCATGGATCAACGCATGAATAATTGATACAGGCACGACTGTCTGAGCATTCAACATCACTTTGGCATTCGCCTCGTGCGCAGTGTGTTAAAGGATTGCCAGTATATCCTGGTAAACAGGTACACACTAAATGGACAAAAGAGGGAGAAGAAAGAGTAAATATCAATGGACAAAGTTTATATTTGGTTGATTGAACATTAAATATTTAACGATTTAAATAAGAAAGTTTTCATGTTCAGTAACATACCTGGCCGTTCACGTCCTGTATTATCATGGCCTGGAGTACATTTTGCGTTCTGAAATTTGATGGGAATGCATTAAAAATCGTTTCAAATTCATCTGTTTACATAAACAGTATAAACAGGAAATGCACTTACAGTTCCGCATGGGTTGTTTGGTGAGCACAAATCCTCTGGAAAGAAGGAAACACATTTTTATCAAATTAAATATAAATAATAAACAATGAGATTCTTTTTCTGAAATATAAAGAATTTCCTAAGTAAACATAAAGGAGAATGCGAGTCCATTATTTAGAGAATCAAATGAATTTCTGATAATTTAACGAAAAAAATCGAACGATTTGCACCGAAACCGTTGATTTATCGAACGCTATCTATTTGAACCATTTAAAACATTGATTAAACGCTATAAAAAGTATGTATTGAGCCGATAGTATCAACTGTATATCATGTCCATTAAACGTACCTGGAGTGAAAGGACGGCAGCGAGTAAATGGATCACCGGTGTGGTCGCGGGGACACGAACAAATTGGAGTCAAACCTCTCAAATTACAGTCGGCGTTCACACCTATTCATGAATGAATAAAGAGTTTTGAATGGTGGCCAAGGCACACGTACTAATCAAATGTTTGATAAATATTTAATAAATTCGACACATTCCCCCCTTTCAATTCAGAATAGTCCATTTGATATGTGTTTCACGTAAACCATTTGATGGAACACAGTTTTTAAGTGTTTTTGATGGATTTTGGCTCACGCTATAATAAACGATGATTCATAAGAAAGAACATACCACAAGCACCATCGCATGGGTTTTTGCACACGCCATAGATACATGCTGGTCGTCCAGATGGGCAGTCACGATCTCCGTAGCATTCAGCACGACATTCCACAAGTGGGTTTCCGAAATAGTTCTACAAATTAACCCAATTCAATGATGCACTCACAGACAATGTATTTGGCTAATGTCAGCTAGCTAACTGAAAACATTCTGGCTGGCTCAGCGACTGAGTTCTATGCGTTGCGTTTTTTCATCGCTCGAAATCATATATATGGAGATTTTTGTTTTGTTCATGTACCGTTATTTGTCAA